TCTCTCTCTCTCGTCTAACAAACACCAGAAAAAAGCTTCTCCAACACATTACTGTCCCGGTGATGGCGGGAGGCACGATAATACATCTGTGGGAGGCACTATTTGCGGAGATTTTAGCGGAGACTTTAGGGGGGGCTGGAGTCACGGCGTGGTGCCCCAACACGACTTCTAGGCTTGTTCTCCGCAAATCTAACCGGTCCCAATGACAGCCTTGACCCTGAGAAACAGTGTTTCCACTGACTCTGTGCAAAGTGTCTAAAGTTAGTGCGGTACAACACTTACACGCTGCCCTCGCTTCGCCATGGTTTCCACACTGGTTCAACGCGGTCTTGCTCAAATATTTTGAATAAACCATGGCGTGGAGGGTTAATAACAAAACGCAATCTGTGGTGGTCGGTTTCGAATCTGTGGCGCACCGCCACAGATTAGCCTATGTATGGGAAACACAGTGCATGTGGGAAACACTGTGCATGTTTAGGGGGTATAATTTTGGTTCAAAGTGCAGAATTTTTCAAACAATAAAGGTTTCAACGGCACCTGATACATAATTTTAAAGCGTTTGAGTTTACGCTCGCAAATGGCGCGTTTTGGTGAGTGACGGGCACTGACGAGTCAGTCACGTACCGCATCCTCTTGCATTTTGAAAGCAATAGGCCCTTAGCCCAGTCGGGGCTCGGCCTAAAGGTTCTAGATCGACAACTAAAATTTGATAAACATATACAAAAACTTTCCAAAACTATACACCACAATTTCAACTGTTTCAAAATAATAAGAAATTTTATTCCCAATCAAGCGGCCTTGCTAAACATGCATGGGATGATCTTCTCCCATATATCATACTGCATGACAGCATGGACCAAGGCAGCTCCCTCAGCCAGAAAGTGGATTGGCACATTATCTAGCAATGAAAATTATGGACAAGAAACCAACTCGTTATCACCACTGCAATATACTCAAAAATTAGAATTAGAACTCTCTCGAACTACAGGAAAACTGTACAAAGAATTCTGAATATCAGCGGTGAGTGACCCATATATATATATATACACTCAACCAAAATCTATACTGAGATCCTCTGCAAATGGATGGCGTGACCATACAATGATAGATCCGGGAAGCGAGAATTTCTTTTGGATGGCCGTTTCGCTGTGTAAGCAGTAACTGGCAACAAAGACATGGGAAGCTTCAGGTTAGCCTCCGCCGCTTGTTTACCTCAGCTGTCTGTGCGTGCTAACGAGAGACCTGTAGCTTTTCTCAAGAAAGTGGGGGCGAGTGGTCCGCTGTGATTGGTCACAAACTGGTCCCGAAACAAATTATTTTCCTTGTTGCACAAAACCTCAATCTAAAATAAAATGACACGCCAGCACAAATCTGCGCTACTTTATCTTCAAAAGGATGTATATCCCAATGCATTGCATGGATATGAATTGAATTTTCGTAAGGAATAAAAAAATAAAGTTAGGTAATGCTGCTTTAATGTTAATGGTTACTTCCGGGGACAAGCTTCGTTTTGAGTGAGAAAGGTGTCTCTAGAGCTGACAGAAATCCTGTGGACAGGACAGCAGACCAGCGGTGCACCCCAAAAAAGGCCACAGAAAAGCCGACTATTGCTAACTGATTGGGTTTTCACGAGGTAATCCCATGAAAAAACTATACATTTAATTCTCACAATTATTATTTTAGGATCTGCAAGTTGTTTTTTTCAGATTCACATATACTGTAAACTGTATGCCTCTTATACAGCGTTTTATCGATCTTGAGAAGGTCCTCATGCAACTTTATTCTTCCACTGAGGAGAGAGGAACAGGGTTAGAGTCAGAACAGCCTGACTCTGTTTAGTGACTTGTGTCCATGGATTATCACCTACAGCATTGATGCGGCTCATTCTTGCATCAAGTCTTCAGCCGGGTATGAGTTTTATCCTGGTAAATTGAGACCCATGCTCTCTCCTTCTTTTCCCCCCCACATTGCCTCCACCCCCTCGGCAGCAGCGAGAAGGATTAACCAATGGACATTAGCCGGTGACACCTGGACCTGTCCCTTACTTTGCATACTCGACAAAGAAATATATTTTAAATATATATATAAAAATTTTTAAAAATATATACTGTATATATATATATATATATATATATATATTTATATATATATATGTATATATATTATACAAATTATATATATAATTTGTATATTTATGAATAAACATACATTTGTAATGTATTATGTGGAATATAAAACAAAAACACACACACAACTTTCGCCCTCCGTGGGCGGTTATCCCTCTCTAAGCCTGGGTCCTCTACCAGAGGCATGGGAGCTGGAGGGTTCTGCGCAGTATCTTTGCTGTTCCTAGCACTACACATTTCTGGACCGAGATTTCTGAGGTTGTTCCAGGGATCCGCTGTAACCACTCCTCCAGCTTTGCAGCGTGTCTGTGTTCAGAGACCTTCCGCAGACTTTATATAACAGTAGTATGTGTTCACGGAGGTGCGCAAAAAGTTTATTTTATTATTAAACGGTATTTCCGCATCGGCGAACGCGCTCAAAGCAGTTGTATAAAGTCACGGGAGCATGAAAACTCACATGTTAACAAGCACTCTGTCCCCCATTGTCAACCCTGGTTTAGTCCTGATGTAGCTCCTGTTTTGGCTGTTTACGAGTATTTTCAGTCTGTCCCCATGACCACTTTGCGACTCTCTGATTGTTGCCTGCACGTGCGTAGATTTTCCGTTCCTGCTCCTCCACTTCGACTTTCCCGCGCAGTCCGTGCGTCTCTACTGAGCAGTCCGTGCGTGCATTCCGAGACGCTCGTGCGTTTTGACGCTCGAACACGCGTCACCATTGACTTTGCATTGAAAGCCAATGCAACGCATGATCCCGTCTGAACGCGGCATTAAGAGGAGGAGCCAACTTAGGAGGTATTTGGCAGTTGCCGCTTTCCTTGTTGCCTGTTCGAGGTTGCCATTTGCCTGTGGTAAATCGAGATACATGTAGCTGTCCTCAACGAGTGCTTTTGTTCCCTCTGGGAGTGAGATCCCTTCTGTGTGGACTACCTTGCCTCGCCGAGTCCGTGCCCTGCTACATTTTTTGATTCCGAATGACATCCCTATGTTCCTGAGGCGGTATCCATAGCCAGTCTGTTCGATTATTTGGCTTAGAAGGTTCAGGCCTATGCAGAACAGCAGTGGGGAAGAGCATCTCCTTGGTAGATACCACATTTTATGGTCACTTGTGCGAGCGGCTTTTTGCCTCAAGGGTGGTCTTCCACATCCCCATTGAGTTTGCAACAATGTCCATTTAGGTGGTACTTCACAAAACCGCTGTAACCGGTGTCTATGCCCTGTTCCCATTCTTGCCATGATCTTGCCTCATTCAGCGTTATTGAGGGGGCTGTTAATCACATCTCGCCCACTTTCACTTTGTTCCACTGGCCCACTTCTCATCAAGGTGCTCTGGTTCCCCAGCACCTGACCCAGAACTTGTTTGCCCGGGCGAGGTCTGAGCCAGCACCTTCATTTGTACCTTCATTATTATGAGCAGTGCTGGTCACGTTACTTTGAAAAAGTAATTAGTTATAGTTACTAGTTACCCCGCTATAAAAGTAACTAGTTACCAGTAAAAGTAACTATTGTGTTTCTTTTTCGTTTCGTTCTGGAACATAATGTGCACTCGATGTACACATTATTACCTTTAACCTCAGTGAGTTTGAAATAGTGCCGATATTTCCATCTGGAAAAGGCTGTTTTTCTGCTGGAGTCCTCCTCACAGTCCATCGCTCTCTGTGTGCTGCACTAAAGACCAACACCCGCCACTGTGAATGCGGAAACACCCACCAGTGACGTGTGGTGAGGTTGGTGATTGGTGAGACACTGACTTCACCCCAATCAGATGTACATAATTATATATCATATAAATCAACAAGACCTACAGAGCGGCTTATTCACAATATGTTTAGCTAAAGCAGAATGTGTCATGCCCGCATTGTTTGCGCATACAAAACGCAAAAGTATGAAAAAGCACATTTAAGACTTCCGGTTGATCTGCGATGACATGGCAGCCTAATATTTTCACAGCCCAAAGTGGAGTGTTTTCCCCCTCATTCAAGACTCTTAATATCATTGAATTATCAGAAACATGCCTGGAGGGGGTAAGAAAAAGCACGCAAAGTTTCAAGAAACTAAGGAACCACCGAATCCCGAAGAACAAAAAGAGGCTAATGCTAATACAGACGGAGAAGATGGTGACAGTGAAGGTCCGCACGAGGCCACAACTCTCTATGAGGGAATACAAAACATCAGCAGACAGATCACGGACTTGCGGACCGAGCTGAAAGCAGACTTAAACTCATTTAAAAACAGACCTACGACGTGAACTGAAAGAAGACCTAAATAAATTCAAAGAGGACACTAACCAACAGCTACCGGCTAATAAGCTAATGGCGCAGGAGCAGGGCAAACAACTGGAGGAAGCCCTAACACGGATACAAGAACTTGAAACCTGGTCAGCTGCGACATACAGTGTGCTAAAACAGTCTCTGAAGGAGCAGAAGAAAACATCGGAAAAGATGGAAGACACTGAATCAAGGTCGAGGAGGAATAATCTGAGGATTTTACTGGATCCCTAAGGGCGAAGAGGGCTCCTCCGTCATAACATTTGTTGATAGTTTGCTCAAAAATGAAAAACTGATTGATGACGACACGAACGCTCAGATACAGAGAGCCCATCTATCCCTCGGTCCTAAACCAGGAGAAGACTCAACCCCTTGATCCATCGTGGTCAACTTCTTACAGTTTAAAACTAAGGAAACCGTGCTGAGAAATGCATGGCAGAAGAAAATTCTCATTCGAGGCAAGCCAATAGCCTTTGACCATGACTATACCGCTGCCGTGGTGCAACAGCGACGGGCTTACAAAGACGTGAAAAGTGCTTTGATACAAAAGGGCATCATATTCCAGTCTCCATTTACCAAACTTCGAGTGCATTGGGACTCAGGCCCACATATGTATCACAGTCCATCAGAAGCAGTGAGCGAGCCTCAACGGCGTGGATTTGCGGTGGAGGAGCCTCAGGGCCGAGGAGGTTTCGACGCTCCAACTCTACTGTAGTAGCTGGAAAGTGCGGCACCATGGCAACGCGTCACCCGGCGAAGCGACAGTGGATCCATCCAGCGGGTGCGCGAGCAACTCCAGGAGTTTCAACACCGGACGGTCTAACAAGTCATTAAGAGGATGCTGTAGGTTCTGTTTTTCTCTAATACGCCTCATAGACGCCTTTAGACTGAAATGAGACCAACGTTCTTTGGTTAAGCAATATATCCACGCGCTCCACTTTGGACTAGCAACACTCTGGAATGGGTGGAGCTCTGAAGGGGTTTTTCACTAGTTCTAGGAGGGGCCCTCATTGTGTGTGAGGCTCTCCCCCTCGTTTACTGTTGTATCTAAAATACTTCTGTTTGGGAGTCACAACATATTTACACTGTATACAAATACTTGTTCATTTGTTCTGTTGTTTACTCTTTTTTTTGTTCTTAAGGTTTGTGGAGGAGGAAAATCATTGTATGTCATAAGATGATAGGATATGTCACAAAAACTTGACATAATGTCACTTAATGTTAAAGTGATTGTCTGGAGTTTGTCAGAAAGAGACAGAGAGGTACTTGATTTGAAAAAAACGACGCAAGCTCCCTCCCCCTTCCTTTCTGATTGGTCTACACCTAAGTTTCCGTAACACTTTTAAATGTTAATCCGAGGGATCAAATTATACATATACATTATTGATACACATGCACGGAGGTTTTCAGAATTATTTGTTTATGTTTTAATGAAAAAAATTATGTTTTTATGCACAAAAAAAGCGATCGCGGCAAACCCGGAACAAGATATTATCATGAACTGAACATTATAGGACACATCTGCAGAGGATCTGATTACGGATATAGGTTCAGTATATACATAAGTACCTCAGCGCGGATGTTCAGAATTCTTTGTTCAGTTTTCATGTAAGGCAAGGCAAGGCAAGTTTATTTGTTCACAATTCATACACAAGGCAACTCAAAGTGCTGAACAAAAATAAGTTCTAGAGCCTAATAGAGGCTGATTCGGAGGCTCCGCAAAAACAAACAACAGAGCATGCGCGCAGCTGCGAGCATCAGCGCCGATGATTGACAGCCCTTGGCATGACTCGATTGGTTAACCTCGACGGCACCGTGGATTCTGAGATATAGCTAAGAGAAGGGAAGGCGGGACTTGCCCGTAATATTAGAACTAATAAAATGACTTATTTTATATCAACATTTAAGGCCAGGACACATTTCCTAAAATTTGTAATTCATTTAGAGTTACAGACTATCACTTTAATGGCCTGGGTAACCCCATTAAAAGAGCCAGGGTGTTAACTAAATTAAAAAAGGAAAATAAGCATATTACTTTTCTGCAGGAGACTCACATGTCATCACAAGAGCATGAGAAATTAAAAAAACTCGGCTATAAGAAAGTATTCTATAGTTCCCATAAATATAGTCACAAAAGGGGTGTAGCTATTCTCATGTCTAATTCCTTGACATTTGAAGTACTTAAAGAAATAAAGGATAAATAAGGGCGTTACGTTATAGTCAAGGGTCGGACTGGAAATAATCTGTTAACTCTCGCATGTATATATGCACCACCAAACAGCGATAAATCGTTTCATTTGATATAATTTCACTGGAAGGGGAAGGGATATTGATTTGTGGGGGGGACCTCAATATAATACTGAATTACACTCTGGACACTACCAGCCAAAATAGAAGCAAAAAGTATTGAACTAAATATGTGAACATGTGGAGGTTAGCTCATCCAACACAAAGGGATTATACACATTACTTTATTCCCCACTCTGTACACACTCACATTGATTACTTTCTCATGCAAAAAGAAGCATATTAGAGTTTTGGACTGCAGAATTGGAGTTGCAGACGTCTCTGACCATAATGCCATGTTTTTGACTATTCAAGTAGATAATCCACCTAAAAACTCTATTTGGCGGCATAAAGGTGCATTGCGTAAGTTGAAAAATGCCTAAACACAATATTTTGCATCTGTGGTCCATCAGCAGTTGCCTGGTGTGTAAACTGAGCATTAGCAGATTCACTGTGGTTGCTTCTGTGAGCGCATACAGTGATTGAGAAATCCCTGACTCGGGACGCTTTCTCGTGCGCTGTTTAAGCGGAAGTGACGAAATGCGCGTGCCCGTTCACTGTTTTGGCTCCATATGTTCCCTCGCGTTCAGTGGATCTGTCCCGTCCTCGTATCACGCGTATTTGAAGATGGATCCAGCAGTTTCTTCTCTAAGAGACCAGCTTCAGAATCACCGTCTGGAAGATTGTCACTAGTGCTACGAAAAGAACGAAGCGAGAGGCCGACCGGCGGAGAGCTCAGACCCGAGTCGCTCTCGGCCATGCGTTTGAGAAATAGAGAAGCCTCCGAAACGCTCTGGGGATAAAAATTGATCCTCATTTGGCGTTTATCTTGATTAGAAGGTAAGACGGTGACTCAGTTCTAAACGTCCTAGTGTCTTGCACGAATACGAAGTGATATAGCATTATTATGTGTTAGCTTTTTGACTTAACAACATGGACTGATTCCATTTGGTTTGGTTTTTTTCTGAACAGTAACAGATTGGCGAGACACATTCAGCATTTTGTTTGTTCTGTATAAAGAATGTTTATAAATAATGACTGTTACGTTGATTAGAGCTTTTGAAAGAACGTTAGCATGTGTTAGCGTAGTACAGCTGTGTACATTATTGGGCTGCTACTGTGCATGTAAACCATTATGAAACTTGCAGATGCAGTGATTATGTACCTCAGTACCTGTACTATATGTATCGTAGAATTGCAGACTATATTAGTAATAGAATGTGGTTAGTCCAACTGTAATACAATGAGATGCATGTGTGTATAGGTAACGTGTATTTATTTACTTTACAGCTATGAAAAAATTATGGCATCAAGGAGTCCCAAGGCCTCAACTCCTAAAACCACTACTGCGACTGGTGATCTCCCGAGTTCAATCGGTATCGTAGAATCTGACCGGTACTTTTTTACCAGAAAAATAGGATTGGCATTATGTTTGATTCAAGCCTTATTGACAATATCACTGAAACAAATTTGCATTTTTTAACAGGGATGACTTATCTGTGGCAGGGGTGCAGCCTTTTATAGAGGTAAGTAATGTGTTAAAGGAATCTCTTTGTCATATTTGCAGTCACTACAAGTACTATATCTGTTACAGCTGACGGGAGAATGGACTCACCAGGTAAGTCTGAAGCCTTCACTTTACAACATAGTTATTGTGTATTACTTTGTGTTTCACCATATTTGATTCAACAAGGTCATTCTGCAACGTTTTGCACATACACAACTATGGAACTTGACACTATGGACATCATCAGTGTTGTCAATGTTGATAAAAAGGCAAGTTGGTGGGAAAAGTGTCTCTATGGAGAAAGCAGCATTCATCAAAACATTTGATGATCTATTGAAAGAATTAAAAGTCAAAGAGATTGTGACTGACGCCCATGTGCAAATTGCAGCCCTCATGCGTAAGTATTTTTGTCTGTATTATTTGATGTGCTATATTTTGTGCTTACTGCATTTTTGAGCTTTAAAATAGATCCAGAACGGGGAAGATATATGGATCATGGAGTTACCCATACCCTGGATTTCTGGCATGCTGCAAAAAATCTTAACTAAGAGGCTTCATGCTGTAATTGATAGTTCATATCGTTTCTCATTCAATTATTTTTTATAGAGTTAACCAAAACCAATAACTTTGATAGGCGGGTGTCCTAGCAGGTCAAAAACAAATCCTTGGGTGGATCAAGGACATTGTTAACCATTTTTGGTATGCCTGTCAGCATGCAAGCAGCCGAGAAGAGTTCATGGTAAGTAAAGTAGAACTAGAATTTATATTCTCATTCTCCCTATACCTTTTCATTTTCTTATGTTTGCTGATTAGGACATTTGGCGAGGTGTACTGCACTATGTTAGTGGCGTGCATGAGTGGGACCTGGGTAGATGCCTTCATGGTCCTTTGGGAGATGATGGCACTAAAGAGCCTGTATCGCCTGGCTCTAAAGCACACGTGGCACTGTCACAGATCGTGCTGAACCGCAGATGGCTGAAGGATGTGGAGGAGTTCCTCACATTTCGGTAAGAGATAACCTTTTATTTTTTGGAATGATTTGTGTTTCTTCTATTTCCTACTTAGTTTCCCTGCAGGACCACCTCACAGCTGGAATCATTCCAAAACCATATTCTGGTTTTGGAATGATTTTCATTTTTTGTTTATGAAGCAAGAACATTTCTTGCAGCTTTGGACTACAATCACCACAACAACCGTCCGGCACATGTGAACAGCAAAGGCCAAGTGTCGTAAGTATCATTCACTACTTCCTATTGACAAGTCATGAATATAGTTGTCTTCTAACGTGAAATTACTTATCTTGTAGCCTTGGAGACTGTACAGCAAAAACTTGAAACGGTATCGGGTACACACTGTCAAAGAAGCAAAGGATTACAACTACATTCCTGACCTTCAGACACAAATCATTGGCAGAACGACTTCAGTCTGCTGGTGGCCTCCCAACCAGACGGAGTATCATACCGGAGGACCCACGAGCACTTGGACCAGTGTCTGGTGTTAACCCACCTCCTATTTCAGAATTGATGCGTACACAGGTCCAGAGAGGACAGGTATGTTTGTGTAACTAACCAGCTTGTTATAAAGAATAACTAATGTATAGGGCTCAACTGACCCCTTGAAGAGACATTCCAGTGTTGTATGATTCAGCTTCTTCTCTCTGCCCTATTTTCCATACTGAATAATATAGATTGGATTTTTGTGTATCTTCAAGTTTTACTTTGGAATGTTACAATTTTGTAAAATGTGTCTTTTCTATGTCCCAGGAGACGACATCTGTTCCCTAACGTTGAAGAAATACAACATCACCATACTTTTTTTTATATAACACAGAAAAAGATTTACAAGAATTTTTACTTTTTGAAATAAATTTGTGTAAGCTCTCAGTCGTACAGGGATTAGTCAAAGCAAAAGAAGGTTTCTCACCCATCATCTGTACTTCTTAGCAAGTTTTCCCGACGTTTCGTCCTCAACCTAGCGGACTTCTTCAGGGAATGAATTCTCGGACCGCGCGTTGGAGATTTATAACCTATGGGTGTGGTTAGCCACACCCTAATCCTGATACTAACTCATAAACAATCTACGGTCTGCTTGATGTAGAAGGGAGCAGATCTAACGACCCTAACTCCTTAGCATGTCACAGACCTATTGTCTGCTGGGATGCTCAAGTGGAGTGCAGGTCTCACCCCTCCTAACTCATTAGCATGTCAATGACCTTGTCCCAAGTTAGGGCGTTGTTTTTAGGATGTCGTCATAGATGTGAGGCAAAACAAATCTTAACCCTCCTCCTCTGTTAAGAGAAGGTTTTTGTTTCCTCACAAAAATGGCTTCTTTCACTCCTCTCTCCAACCAATTCTTCTCCCGAGCCAGAATTTTAACCTCTGTGTCATCCACCGTGTGGTTGGAGGCCTTGAGGTGGAGATGAACAGCCGACTGTGGCCCACTAGAGTTTTCTCTACGATGTTGGTAAAGTCGTTTCTGTAGAGTTTGTACGAAACACCCAGACACAAACAGAGCAATGTGGTGTATTCAAGTAAATGTAGTGAAGAGGAGTGCACTGACCACTATATTGGAGAAACCAAACAAACGTGTTCTAAAAGATTTAGAACACGAATTTAAGACACAAAGAGAAAGATTTACAAAAAAAAGCATTTCTGAAATGGACAAATGCCCAAAAATAAAAATTGTAAACCGCTTTGTGACTCTGGTCTGTGAAAGGCGGTATATAAATAAAGATTACTTACTTACTTACTTATATCTCAAACACAGTTATTATGAGCTTGGCTCCAAATCATCAAAATTACTAGCACGTAGGTTACGAAAACAGCAGACTGACACAGCCATTCATAGAATCATAAACGCTAAATCTCAGAAAATGGAAACAAATCCTGAAGAGATACAACAAATATTTACAGAATACTATAAAAGCCTATATTCGCAAGAAGCGCTGTAGATGTAAAGTCAATTAAAGACTTCTTGAACTCACTAGATTGACCTAGTATTGGGGAAATGCAAAATAGAGCAATTACTAAAGAAATTTCATTAGAGGAACTAAATAAGGCAATTGGAAGTTTGAAGGCCAATAAAACCCCAGGCAGTGACGGGTTTCCGTCAGAGTGGTACAAAATATTCCGGGATATTGAACCCCATCCTATTAAAATCCCTTAATTGGACTTTGAGGGAAGGTCGGGTCCCACCATCTTGGAATGATGCTATTGTGTCATTGATTCTTAAAGAAAGGGAAAATAGAGATAATTGTGCCAACTAAAGACCAATATCCATTTTGAATGTAGATTATAAATTATACACATACATTATTTCCAAAAGAATGGAGTCGTTCATTGCAGAGCTGATCGATGATAATCAATGTGGTCTTATACCTGGTAGACAAACACATGACAATATAAGAAGGACTATTCACATAATACACCAGATAAACAGTGATCATTTAAGCGCACCCCTCATTAGTCTCGACGCCGAAAAGGCATTCGATAGGGTGGGATGTGAGTTCCTGTACCGGACCCTTGAAAGATTTGGATTAAACAAAAATTCTATCAAAACTATAAAAGCAATCTATCAACGACCAACAGCTAGGCTCAAAATAAACGGGTCCCTTTCAGAGCGCTTCCACCTTGGTAGAGGGACACGCCAGGGTTGCAGGCTCAGCCCTTTCCTCTTTGTGCTTTACATTGAACCTTTGGCACAAGCTATACGACAAGAAGAGGATATAAAAGGAGTTACTATGGGAGGAAATTAACATAAAATTGGGCTATTTGCCGAGGATGTCATGTTGTACCTCACCGACCTGGATTCCTCTCTCTCAAGGTTAATGAAAATAATTAATGAATTCATATTGTGGGTATAAATTGAATCTCACAAAAACACAATTGATTCGTTTTAATTACAAACCTAAAGGAGAAATTGAAATAGTATGGAAGATAAATTGGAAAACAAACTATTAAATATTTGGGTATTATTGTAACAAAAACACCAGAGCTATTATATAAGGCAAATTATATAACTATCACTGATAATATTAAAAAAGAATTGGAGAAATGGTCAACTTATCCACTAGATTTTAGTAGCAGGATAAATGTAATTAAAATGAATATATTACCAAGGCTACTGTATCTTTTCCAGGCCTTACCACTAGAAATACATACAAATCAATTTGCAGCTTGGGATAAAATGGTGTCAAGATTCATCTGGGCAGGTAAACGGCCAAGAATTCGTGTCCGTACATTGCAGTTGTCAAAAGATAGGGGGGGAATGGCTCTTCCAAATATTAAACTATATTTTCAGGCAGCACAACTACGACCTCTGTGTCTCTGGTATGATACTTCATACTTCAAGGTGGAGGGACATTGAGACCTGTTTCCCAGATGGTAAAATCCAAACACTGTCAGGAGAAGATGGTCTGACTGAAACAATCAGGAATAAACTAAACCCTGTAGTTACGGTTGCCTTGGAAACATGGTTCTCCATTATTAAAAATTTAAAACTTAAAAATAGTCAGAAGATATTGAGATGGATTGCATTTGATAACTGCTTCAAGCCAGGACAGCCTTTAATGGTTGGATAAATAGGGGGATAACAGCTTATTACTTGATAACTGAGAATAACCAAGTGATGAGCTTTCAGAAACTAAAGGACAAGTTTGGTTAGAATAGCCATCATATGTTCCGATATATCCAACTAAGAGATTATTATAATAAAGAGATAAAAGTACATCTTTCCAGTGAGGTGGTTAATCCTCTAATTGAAGTCATGTGTGGTGCCTACAAACATAAGTCTAATAAACTTATTTCCAAAGTCTACCACAGCCTGATGAAAAATTCTGATTCCACCACACTATATAAAAGCAAAATGGCAGCAAGAATTACATAAAACCTTTTTTGATGACGAATGGTATAAAATGTGCAGTCTTCTTCTGACTTCTACTAACTCACAACAATGGAGAGAATTCAACTGGAAGTGCCTCACCAGATATTTCACCACATAAAGAGCAAGCAGCTTGGAATACAGCAAACATGTTGGAGGAAACGTTATCATGTGGAAGCAAACCAAGCACACACTATTTTGGACTCTCGTTAGTGATACATTGAAGGATGTTCTGGGATACAGCATTCCTGTGGACTCCTGTGTGCTGTACCTTGGGAATTATGGAGACATGGTGCAAAAAGAAGACCTGTACTTGGTGAAAATTCTACTAACGGCAGCAAAGAAGGCCATTACCAGACTATGGCTCAAACCTGATGCCCCGAATCAACAACAATGGAACAACATAATCCAGAAAAATTTTCTTATGGAGAAACTGACTTACTCTTTGAGATTAAAGATGCCAGACTTCACAAGAAAGTGGAGCAAATGGTCTTCTTTTGTAATAATGGAAGAAGGTAATTATTATACCTTGAAGTTACCCTTATTTTAAATATAGTAATATGTAAGTTTTTAATAATTTTACTAACTATTTAAGTTATTTTCTTTCCTCCTCCACAACCTTTTTCTTTCTTTTTTGTGTTATTTCTTTGTTTATTGTATTATTGTCTGAAAATTAATAAAAATATTTTTTTTAAAAACACATTTAAAAGTGTGTTATGGGCCTTACCTTATAAATGACCTGCACAGACCACTTCAGTTCAGACCAGTTTCATGTTTAAGTCCAGATAATAGATATGCACTGCAAAAACGCAGATCTTGTCTTAGTATATTTGTCTTATTTTAAGACATTTCAGCTCAAATTAAGTATAAGACAATTTATCTTGCAAAGAAATATCATTAAGTAGTAAAGACTTGTTTTAAGAAGATACATCTCATATATTTTGTAGACTAAAAGATCTTATTTTAAGTCCAATTTGAACTAGAATAAGCCAAGATACAAGCAAATTTGATTGAAATTCAATCTTTTATTGACAAACTTCACACAGAAAATGATCTACAATAAAAAAGTGAATGAATGAATGGTTTATTTTGGTTGAGGCATTTAAATTTACAAACACTAACAAAACAAAAATATCCAACCAAAAAAGGAATAGGCTGAAGCAATGCTTATTTATGCCTATCCTTGTTCAAACCACATAACTGATGCTAAAAACAGCTTATCACACTAATGATATACTTTATCAAATAACAAAAAAATAAAGAACAACTATTTGGTGACTTACAGACAGAATAATGAATGATATGTACACATGCACATCTCCATTTCATTTCATACAAGCTTGAGGTAATCACTCAAATGCTTCTGTTTAATCATTCTTCTAAATCCAATTAAAGAAATACATAGTTTAAATTCATCTTTTCGTCCATTCCATAGCTTAACACCCTCAACTGAAACACATCTGGACTTCACAACGGAGCTCACTTTAACAATTTCAAAAATAAATAGACCTCTTAGGTTATAACAACTTTCCCTTAATTTAAAGAAACTCTTAATAGGCTTAGGAATGTTATTGTTTTTAACCCTGTGAACAATTTCTAACACTTTGATGTTGACAATATCCATTAATTTTAGAGTTTTATTTTGAATAAATAAATTATTAGTTGGTTCACAATAACCAACCTCATTTACAATCCTTATAGCCCTTTTTTGCAATTTAAATAAAGAATCTATACATGTCTTGCCAGCGTTCCCCCATATCTCTACACAATATGACAGATGGGACATAACTAAAGAACTATATATCAAAAACAATCCTTTTTTATTCAATAAATTCCTTGTTTTATACAATATTGCGATTGACCTTGACACCTTATGCTTGACATATTCAATGTGCGGTTTCCAACAAAGTTTGTGATCTAGGATTACTCCAAGGAATTTGGCTTCAA